CAGCCAACAAGGATTCAGCGCCAGCAAGGCCTTGCAAAAGGCATGTCAAGCAGGCCAGCAGGTAAGGCTGCCGGCGATCTTTGCAAGCCAAAACGGCTAAGATCATGTGTGTGATCTGGAAAAGACACGACCAAAAAAAAAAATATATATATATACTCAATGCAAGTTGTATTTCAGCTCTCCAAATATCTCCAAACGTGTTGCGGACGTGCCTCTAAATTCAATACATGAGCTTTCCAACGGATGAAGGGAAGACACGTCCGAACATTTCAATCACCGTCGCAAGCGCGACGGGTTTTCGATTCCCATACTTCGACCGACCAGTTGACGATGGCACGCAAACCCCCGCCGACTCACGTCGGTGAGGCAACTCTCCATGAGCAAGCCCCTGAGAGAGATTGGTCTTTGTGACTCCGGCTATGTTGCCTTGTCGTATGCGTACTTACCGACCAACCTGGTGAAGGCCATGTGCTATTTGAAAGGTCTTGACGACTCCGAGGAGTGGAGGATCTCTATCAAATTTGATCGCCACATAGCATATCATTCATGGCACCCGGTTTCGAATGCAAAGCTGCAGGCAATACCTCACTCCTTTCTTGGGGGAAATAATCTTTCAGACTCCTGCAAGGACCAGGACTTCATTCTGGAAGGCCTTGCCGACATCAAGTTGGGCACAACATCCGTTGACAGTTTGGCGCAGGTTCACTGGCCCAGGAGTTTGGAACACTTGACGTATGGTGTCGCTTGATTGACCAACAGCATTAGACCTTTTGAACGCTGGGAAACCCCTGAGAGTCCAACTGACTCATGAAATACCCCGGCGCCTGGTCACTAGTTCACTAGTGGAGTGTTTTCCTTTCAGCTGGGGATAGTTCATGAGTCAAAACGGACGTTCTGGGCTTCTCGTAATTCCTTTTGCTCGGACTCGGAGCCTAAATCGATTGACCGATTTGGCACCCAGATCCGGCGGATCGGGGGGGGGGGGTTGGGGCGAAAGGATCGCAGTGCGAATGACCAAACGATGTTTCGCCTAAACAGGGGGAGTGTGTCAGCTTTGGAATTGGCTCAGGACATGTTCAATGAGACTTTGGAGGGTGTCATTTGGCCCAGCAGTCTTAGAAGCTTGACCCTCGGCATGAAATTCAACCACACTTTAGACGAAGTGAAGTTGCCTCACAATTTGCAAAGCCTGACCTTTGGCGCGCGGTTTAATCAGAGCTTGAGTGGCATCAATCTACCACCTGGCTTGCAGAGTCTGACTTTCGGTGATGGCTTCAATCAGAGCCTGCAAGAGGTGGATTGGCCACAGAGCCTCCAAACACTTGTCTTGGGCAACAGGTTTGACAGCAGTTTGGAGCATGTTACCTTGCCAAGCAGCCTCCGATCCTTAACGTTTGGCGCTGTGTACAACCAGAGCTTGGAGCATGTGTCGTTGCCGAACAACCTTGAAAGCTTGACGTTTGGGATGATGTTCAACCAAAGCTTACACGGTGTCAATTTACCACAAAGCCTCCAAAGCCTGACTTTTGGTGACATGTTCAACCAGAGCTTTGATGGCGTATCTTTGCCAAGCAGCCTCCGCAGCTTGACCTTTGGTGATGAATTTGCCCAAAACTTCCACACCACGAGATTCCCAAGTAGTCTCCTGAGCATGACCTTTCACCAGAGCCTGTCGCAAGTGAACTTGCCATCAAATCTCCAAATTTTAACTTTAGGTGATCGGTTTAACCAAAGCTTGGAGCGCATGCAATTTCCAACGAACCTCCATAGCCTGACGTTTGGCAATCATTTCGACCAGAACCTGGATGACGTCAAGTGGCCTGACGCCCTGCGGAGCCTGACTTTTGGCAGTGGCTTTGACCAGAGCTTGGACGGAGTCAAGTTGCCATGCAATCTTCAGCATTTAACCTTTGGGATCTTGTTTAGCCAATGCTTGGCGAGAGTCAGGTTGCCCAATCTCCAAAGCCTCACGTTTGTCGAAACCAATGTCTTTGACCAGAGCCTGGAGTGTGTGAACTTGCCGAAGACTTTGCAAAGCCTGACGTTTGGCATGAAGTTCAACCACAGCTTGGAGAGGGTCCACCTACCAGACGCTCTTCAGAGACTGACTTTTGGTATGGGCTTTGACCAGAGCATGGAGCGGGTCACTTTACCACGCGAGCTGCAGAGCCTGACTTTCGGCAGCTTTTTTCAGCAGCCATTGGATCGGGTCACTTGGCCAACGGGCCTGAGACATTTGACCTTCGGAGTGACTCGGCGGATGACTCGCGGTGGGGTGACAGGGCGCCGATGAGCGGGGCCACCCTGTCACGAATTGGTTGGTGGTTTGGAACATAAAAATCAGACAACATGTGCAAACATGTTTGCTCTCTAAACAAACATCGCAAGTGGTGGAACTCCCCCATTAAAAGGTGAAATATATGATCATTCAACCACCCGTACTTGGTACCCAGATAGCTATGATAGGATCCAAGTTTGCATATACCCCCCCCGGAGTATTCCAGTGGCCGGTCAGGAACCAGGGGCCCAAACAGCGCTGTGCGTCGTGTTTACTTCTTGGGAACCGGTCGTGGCTGAAAAATGAACATAGTCGTGGCTGTACATGCTGGCATTCCCCAGACAAATCACAAGGCGATTCCGTCACACTCCATGACCTGTGACACCCTGGGCATGGATCCCTGCGACCGGATTCTCGGACTCACTTCGCCGGTGGACGTCCAGGTGATGTTCAATCAGAGTTTGGTGAATGTCACGCTGCCACCGCAACTTCAGAGCCTCACGTTTGGTCAGGACTTCAACCAAAACTTGGAAGGGGTGAAGCTCCCAAGCAGCCTCTCGCTGCAACGCTTAAGGTGTTGGGTGATTTCCCCCTTCCAGTTGTTGTTGGATCCCAAAAACTTGGTGAAAGAGACCCGCTTTACAGTAGATCAGGTATGCCAAAAGACCTCTCACTCTCGACCATTTGTCAAATCTAGGAGGTTTTGGCCGATTTGCCTTAAGACTTGATTCTGTTTGTTTATAATATGTAGTGTTCATGGCGCAACTAGTAATGTCAACACATGATTAAGTAACCACCCCCTATTAATCAATCCCAGCTCGACCCCTCCAATACTAAACTAATCGAACACCTAGATTTCCACCTTGGCATCACCCTAATATCTTTTTTCCTGTGCAGAAACCTCCTCCTATTAATCCCAGCTGCCCCCCCCCAAAAAGTATTGTTTACTATTTATTTGTAGTTCTTTTCTATTACATTCTTTTAGCTAGTCTCCAATATATATATATATATATCCTCTTCTTTTTTGCTAGTATTCAATATCTCATCATCCCCTCATCTTCCTGATTCTCACCACTCATGGATCAATCTAACATGAACACTCATCCAAAAGTTCTCATGTGGTTTCCAACTCTTCCAACCCTTTCATCCCAACTCTTCCAAATACTAATTCCCTTTCATCTCAATTCTTCCAAATACTAATTCCCTTTCATCCCAGTTCGTCCAAATACTAAATACTAATTCCCTGTCATCTCAATTCTTCCTAATACTAATTCGCTTTCATCATCAGGTCATCAGCTTTATTAGGGGGATGTGATCTCCAAAACCTCCAATCTCAAACCTTGTTGACCTTGTTGACCTTGAAGGAGAGGGGGGGCGGGGGGGGCCCGTTGATTAATCCGGTGTTGACATTAATGGCCTAAGCCTCTATGTTTGTAAGTACCTGCCTACCTGCCTACCACTGAGGCTTGCGGAGCCTCTCCTTCGGCTTTGACTTCAACCAAAGCTTGGAGCAGGTCAGTTTGCCAAGCAATCTTGAAAGTCTAACGTTCGGAGCCGCTTTCAACTGCAGTTTGGAGAGTGTGACTTGGCCGAGTCGCCTGCGTTGCTTGAAGTTTGAGATGCTGGTTGACCACTGGTTGGAGCGAATCAATGTGCCTGCCAGCTTGCAAAGCTTGTCCGTTGGTGACTTCAGTGTTTCAATCTGCTAAGACCCTGGCCACTCCATGGGTCGCTGGTTCTGTCCCCTGATTGTGACGGTTGTACGGCAGCTACATTATATACATCTGGAATGGTGAAGGTAGCCATGAACTCTTCAAGGTTTCAGCATTCTGCAGCCAAGTCGTCAGAGCAAGATGCATGCAGGCCTGTCCTGTCTCGAGTGAATTGACTGTCAGTCTTCACTGAGATGCACTGCTTGTTTTGGTCATCCACGATCAAACGCAGAACATGTGGGGTCCTGGCAGAGTTTCACTGGCTCATACTTGTCCTCATGACCTGGAGAAGCTATGACTGCTTGTGTGACTCGTTTGTCGCTTTGATGAAGAATCCTGGGCATCGGAATCCTGCGTATTTGTTGGTGTCTTCCTTTTATTAATTTAATGTGGGAAGGCATCTTGTAATGGACATACGGTATAGGTTCCCAAGGTCCCACGGTGTTCTCTTCCAACCCTCCTTGTGACAGAGGCGGGTCTAGGGGAGTTTAGGTGCTTTCTTCTGCGCGGAAAGGCAGCTGGTACTGCACTTGTTCCGGAATTCACTCGGAGCTCCGTAACAGGCAGGTGACGATATGGGTTTCATCTTCGGTCACGGATATCCAATTCCTTTGTCTTTGCCTCCTTTGGCAGGTCCTCATTTTAAGGGTTCCAAGAAAGCAACAAGCAAATCCCAACATCCAACGAGGGGAGGAGCCATCACTGTTGTCACAATAATCGTAAACAATATATGTAATATTAATAATCACCTTTGCCACATTAAATAGTAAACAATATATTAAATGAATGTGTAATAATCATCATCATCCTTGTCTCAATCATAGTGAACAAAATCATATAATATAAACAATTGTTCTTTTTGTTGAAAAATCATCCATCCACCTGGTGACCCATTGTTAAACACCACGCTTTTCTGGGCTCTTTCTTCGTTCTCTCCACCTGCGGCCACGGAGCACCCGGTGGGGCACCCGGTGGGGCACCCGGTGGCACCGGTGGGTTCGGCTTCGGAGGCCCAACGCTTTGGCGACCTCCCTTGCGGTATCAATGGGCTGAGCCAGCAGCGCCTTGGGAGGAGAGATCCGATTTTTCATGTGAGATGGAGGTGAGAGGAGAGAAAAACATGCGGACAGGATCATTTGTGGAGACGGTCGGCAGTTTTGGTGGAGCTCTCGCATTTTGTGGAGATGTGGTGCGGAGAACGGAGGAGATAGGATTACAGTAGTTTTCCTGTAACGATGGAAAAAGATAGGACACAAGAGGCAAACAAACGCCTGTAAGTTGCATGCGTATATTGGATCGCATTTCCCTGAACAGAGCATGGCGACAAAGAAACCACAAACCAAAAACAACAGGACTCAGCATGACTGATATCAGATTTTGACATGCGTTTTATTTCTTGCGTGTGAATTGTGCATCACAACTATCGTAACATATATAAGAACAGCCCAATTCAAAAAGAAGGGATTGTCATTGAACACAGAACAAAACGCCGGAAATCAGAAACACCGCGGCACCGGCTGGTAATTTGTGCTGTGTGTGTGCGCGCACGTGTGTTAGTGTTTAACATCAAACCTCCCTTTTATGTAACCTTCCAATGTTACAGATACAGCATGTTACATCAATTCTCAGAAGCGGTCACATTTGACAAATCAAGGATAGGGGCACTATCCCAACGGATTTGGTACCCAGAAACCAGACAGCATCGCATAAGTCAAATACTCGATAGAGACAAACACTTGGATCGTTTGTTTGGGTTGTTCCTGAATTCATCCGTGTCATGATTGGTCACGCTTGAAGATCACGGACAAAAACAGAGCAACAGATAAACAATAAGATGTCAGGGGACAAATTGTGGGTCAAAGGGTGGAGACTCTCCAAACTCTTATTTTCTCCCCACCTCAACGTCCAGAACGTCATTTCTTTTTTTGCACGTCTTTTCTGCTGTTGCCGTCTCAGGAGAACATTTGTCTCAGGTCCTTGTTCCTTTGGAACACACAGCGAGCAGCAAGCTTGGCCGTCATTTTGATCTCGCCATTGGCTTGTCTCGTGCGTGAGTGGCACCGGCTGCATTCTAGCGTGGTGCCCTTGCGCATCATGGTGTGCGAACCGTGACCAGGCCACTCATCAGCTGGTACAGGGCCCACATGGCATGGCTCTGCCACAAACTTGTTGAAGGCTTCCTCATTTGTTCTGGCCAAAATGTAGCTCTTGCATTCACTGCAGCGGAGGTACGCTCTATCCAACTTCAGATGGTGGATGCCAGGCTGAGGCGCCTGTTGAGAGGCCACGAGGGCATGGATCATCTCCATCCTGGTTTGCCGAGGAGGCGTGTGTCGTGGAGCCTTCTCACAAGGGCGATCATTGGCTTCCTTCAACTCCTCCAACATGTTCTTGGTGTGGTACCGGAGCTTGCAATGCCGACATTGAATGCCGCTCCGGAAAGCCTCCCATGCATGTCCTGCAGTGGACTCTTTGACCAACAAGTCTGCCAGGAGCATCTTCTTCTGATGCAGCAAAGGAACCTTGGTCTCCATGACCTTGTCCTTCTGATGCAGGAAGTGATCTTTGTTGCGAAGCAAAATGCTCATCCGTTCTCCAGCCTGGAGGAGGATCTCATGGGCGTCGTTGTCGACATGGGCTTGCATATCCAAGATTTCAGTGGGTTCAAAGAGCTTCCCTGTCTTGGAGGCGAGCTTCTGAGTGTCTCTCTGAGTGACCCGTCGCAGCTCATTCTGTTGCAGCTCCTTCGTGGAGAAAAGAAGTGGCCACACATGGTCAAAATCCTCAAACTCAAGGCCTGGGAAGAGGTCAGGAAAGGTCTCAAATGCAAGATGTGGTTTCCATGTCTGCCAAGACTTGACATCATATAGTGCCACCGGAGTCTTCTCCACCACATGCAAGGCCAATTGCTTCAAAGCGAAGAAAGTGGCCCTCCTTTTGGTGGCCGGCGCAGGGCAGATGCCGGTGATGGATGCTATTTGCTGTCGGGTTTTGGTCTGATGAGCACACACAGCAAAAGCAAAGCGTCGATGTCTCCGGTCTCCACAGGTGGGTGCCACTGCGATGGAGCAGATGAGGCCCTTGTCCGCCTTGAGGAAACCCAAATCCTTCCATAGGCCAGTGCCCTCGATGGTAGCCAGGCCTTCCTCCGGCTCATAGAAGAGGCTTTGAACGAAGCCCCGTTGCCACAATTCCGGGTCAGTGCCAAAGTTGAGGCGAGAGATCCATTCTTCCGGCAGGGCTTTGGTTCGCCCTTTCCAAAAGGTGCATTCCCAGAGTAGGTGGACAAAGGTCAAATCCACTCCACATAAAGGGCAATGTCCCGAGATGCCATGCAAGGTGCCCTGATGCAAAGCTCTCAAACCAGTGGCTATTTCCTCACTCGTGCTCCGCTGGATATGCTGACTGATCATCCAATCCAATGGCCGTTCCAGGTCTTGGCACCCTTCATAGCGTGTCAGTCTGAGCAATCTTTGCCACCGAAATTCAGTCTGCATCTGTGTGTGAATCAACGGCCAGGGGTCAATCAAGGAGATGTAGCAGTCAGGAATGCCACCATAACCTGTCCGCTTCCATTTGTGGCCATTGGAGATATCAAATTCCAAGTCCAGCATGTAGGCTTGAAGGGCTTGGAGCGGACCCGTAACCACTTGCCACCTGTACTTGGCTTTCTGCAGGGCTTTCTGCAGAACGTCATATATATATAATATATATATATACACGGCACGACAGGCGACAGCTTTCTTGATGAACTCTTTGGGTTTTGTTGGCAGGGTGCGGGATTCCTTTTTAGATATCCTAGATTTATATTCCTATAATTTCCCAAAAAGATTTCGTTCTTTTTTTTTCTGGCCAATCCACCTCCACTTATAGCACCTGAACAGTTCGATTTCCTAGCTCGAAGCCAGGGGTGTTGAAGGTTTTGATGACTTGATTAAACTACTATAGACTCAAAGGGTAGAAGAGCGAAGCAGTGAAGGCGAAGGTAAACGAGTTTGGTCATTGCTGAGATTGAAGCTCGTAAATGGATGAAGTGACGCACGGGCAGGCCGCCCAAATACAGTTTGCCAACTACTTTCTTTAGTGTCCTTGGGGGTTTTAGAGACTTTTAGAGTTCTGATTCCCATTCCCATGCATTTGATTGACTTGCAGTTGAAGCTGCTTGGAGATCCCCGTCTTACAGTGTAACCTTGGATATCCCTCCCTCAGCTAAGAAGTCGTCTCTTCCCAGTTGAGCGAACCGACCGGGTCGACGTGGGTCGACCGTGACGTCGACCGTGACGCCGTGACGTCGACGTTTGGGTCTCCTCCATCCAAGCTGGCGTCCTTTGGAGTAGAAGCGATGCTGAGTCCTCAGTAGAAGCGATGCTGTCATGTGCTTGCGCATGAGTCTGATCATCGTGACTGAGAGAATGGGGCCTTTAGAAGTGCGGCTTCTCGTGGTGGAGGCCGAATGTACTTGACTGACGGGGTGAATGACAGACGCATATGGGTGCGTATTTTGATAAGGGGACCCCGAACTCATGGGGTTTTGGCTTATTGTCCTTCTTCCAAGAGGTGGAACTGGGAGGTCTCCCTATTTTAGTACACGTCACACCACATTATGACATATTATGACATGCCTTGATCCGAGTTGCCAATGACCATCAAGTCAAGCAGATGCACGCCTTCAGCGTAGCACGTAGATTTGGAAGGATGATTGTTACCACCCAAAGGGGCTCCTGTGAATCAATGGAGTGAACGTGACGTTCAGTGAAAGAAATCCTCGATGTTTTGCCAGTCTTTGGGGTCTGTCTCCATTTCTACTACTGTAATCTCTACCAGGACGCAGAAAGGGTGGTTAATGGACACCCCTTAACATCTAAGGGGCTATCAATAGAAGCCCCTTACGGGTCCTGGTACGCTCATTTGGCCTGTCTCATTTCATCACCGGAATCGCTCCAGGACCGCGCCCAGCTCAAGGGTAGCCCAGTCGTCCGACGCTACAGTGGCAGCTGTGCGGAGTTCCGGCACCAATGGCAAGAGGCCGTGGTGAAGATGGCCTGGGGATGTGTTGTCAACACCATGAGAAGTAACAGGACTTTTTGGGGAGGGCAACGCCCTGAATCATATCCAAGAAGCAATAGACTAATAGACTCATATAGACAATCATCGGGGCCTTGCGCAAGCGTTCAGTGGAGTTTTTTGAAACGTTTCGATTTTGATGATTTTTCAAGAGCTGTTTCTTCTGGCCTTTTTGGAGGCCCCCTGACCGAGAAAGAGGCGTCATTTCGATAGATGCCTAGCTTCCAAGATGTTTCCCTGTTCATCAATCATGCACCATGCACCACCTTGAAGCCTCAACATTTGCAGGAGATGCATACCATCAGCGTTTCTGGGAACCTCACATTTCCATCCCCCACCTTCCTCCACCTTCCTCCACCGCCTTCCCCCCAGGCGCTGCCCGAGACGCGCCTGTTGGGCCGTTGGCTCTGCGGTCGCGACGCTCGCTGGATCGGTGGCCTCCAGGAGACCTCGACCCATGAGGCGCGTCACGCCATCGTCCCAGCTCCGGAGTCCACCGGTTGGAGACGGTGTACATGCGAATGAGTCTAAAGTGATGCATGCATGATGCATTGGTTCCTGGAACTAGAAGCTTGCTCTATGGCAGCATGCGAATTCATGTGTTTTGTGATGGCACCACATAGTTTGCGTTTGGCAAACATGAGGTGCCACCGTTGCTGGTGTGGCGCCCTAACGAACTGTGGATGGAACAGATCAAGTGGAACCCACAAAATGGTGCGGTATGGTGTGTGTTTGTCCCCATTTCATCTCATTTCGTGTGTCCTGCTACCCCCTCACACGTCGGGTGGTTTTGGGGTATACCATGGCCATTCGATCCATACCAACCTTCAACCTTCGTCCGATTCCAACTCCGGAACCCGAGAGGTTCAGAGGATAGCAGTTCAGATGATTTCTTCGGCGCGGACGGCAGTTGCGGACCACTCTCAACCAATCCCAGGGTCCCAGTGCCTACATCGGCAAGCTCATGCAAATCCTCTCCACCGGTGGGTTTTGCATGGAACATACATCGTCAGGGCGGTCTATAGACCACCCTTTCCGTAGTGCTGGTCCGTGCTGTATTTTGCCTCCCTTTTGCCCACGGCATGTTCCCGCGGTCATGCGCGGAACAAAAGGATCGCACGGTGCGTAGTCTGGATTCCCAGCCCGCCCAGAGGTGCGCTACATCCTCAAGGCACAGCGAGTGGTGCTGCTGCTCTCGCCAGAGCCCTCAGCTGCCTTGACCTTCACAGAGCCTTTTGGATGCGAACGCCAGTGGGTCGACATGGGAAGGTGGGATGAAATGGCGTTTTGCTCAGTTCCGAATGCCAGATGTTTGGGCAAATTCTCACTCAATGGTGGCAAATGTGGGAGGCAGCTGTCAAAGTGATGAACTGACTTAGTTTCATTTCTTAAGCCCTAGATCGGATGAAGATATTTTAACAAAAATGTTATTATGTCATGAGTCATGTTGTTTATTGTTGGATACACCTCAATGCATGTGCTTGGTGGTCTGCACGAAGACCTAACATGGTTGCTGAAAAGGTGCTGTAGCAAAGAGGTTCGATGCCGGACATACCTTTTGCACTGTAAATCCTTTTGCTCCTGAGGTTCGATGCCTCCACAATTACTTTGGTATTTGACATGCGAACAACACATTATTCTGAACGGCATTCGATGTCTGTCTTCGGCACTTAATTCGGCACTTCGACAGGCCAATCTCAAAGCTGCCGGACTGAGAAAGCTGTTCGCTCGAAAGGAAGCCACTCCAAGCCATGGAGAAATTCAAGCCACTCGAGGTGCAGGCACTGCCTGCTGAGCGAATTGAGACACCATGTATACGCGGATGCTGCAGAAAAGCCATTGGACATCAGAACAGGCCTGTGGAGACCCGTTTCAATGTGCAATCAAGCATTCAGAGCGCTTCTGGGAGCTGGCAAGCTCGTAACATGTGTGCCAACAGGCTCCAAGAGGTTCTGTGGCCCGGCTTGTATATGTCTACATGTTCTTGACCGTCTCCCATCAGATAGGCAAATTGCAGCTCTTACGAAGTGAGACACGACCTGCTGCAGCCACCTGGGTGGGGTGCCGCTTCGGTGCCGTGCACAATGCCCAGTGGATCGGACGTGCCGCTCGTGCCCGGTGGAGAAGTATTTGCTCCTCAAGTCAGATCCGCCAAAATGGCTGTGAAGTATCTACAGTGCTCAGGCAGCTTTGAGATGCTGAGCACTGTAGAGCCACTTGGGGCAGTTGATACTTGAGTTGACTTGCCACACTGGAACCCGTTGGTTTGTAGGTTGTTCCAAGGGTCACTAGAAGCTAATAGGACCCCGGTGCTTCGCATTTTCCCACTCTTCTTGGACGATGCCTTAGTCGTCGCTTCATCCGGTTGTCCCGCCCGCCACCGGCACCGGTGAGGTTTCGCAAGGCGCTGGAGGGGTGGACAGAGCCCGATGATGTGATGTGTGTGCCCATTTGCGCCCTGTCAGCACACGTGCGTGGCTACTGGCGCAGTCGAGTTCGTGTGGTTCGCATGCCACCGACCACAGTTCCAGGTGGGGTATAGATGGGTATAGTAAGGCAGGAGTTTGGTCCGGTTTGACTCTGGCCCCAGAGTGTCAGGAGCCACATGGACCATGTTTGAAGGCCACACGGACCACACGTGTTGTGTTGCAGACTGCAGAAAGCTCATTGAACAGAGTACCCCTGGAATATGACGATGCTGTGGGTTGAAAAAGCAATCCATGGGTTCCATGTGTTTTTTTTTTTTCCGTAGACCCTTGAAGGTACATGTTTTTCACCAGGCCATGTATCGCTCTGTCAAAGCCATGTAACCGCTTCTTCTCCGAAGAAGAATGCACCACGCCTCAGCGATCCTCAGCGATCCTCAACGGTCAGGTGGCGCCCCCTTCGATCGCCATGCTTCGGCACTGCACACCATTGTGGCGCCCTCGGAGGAGTTCCCCAGCATCCAGGCGCGCGGGTGCGGGGGCAGCCCACATGATGCTGTGGAGTGAGCCAGGGAAGTTTTGCAGGTTTTGGGTGGCCTAGGTGAGGTACAAGCCAGATGGTGAACCTGAGGTCCGAAAGAAGCATGGGACACATGTTTCCTGAAGTTTCATGGAAGTTTGAAGTCTTTGTGTCAGCTGAACTTGTGGATCGGGTGTGTTTCTGCCGTAACTGCTACGTGATCACTGGGTAATTATGCAACTAATGTTCCTGCTGGTTTATTTGCCTCCAACATGTTTGACTGTTTGTCAAATGGAGGTTCTTTCACTGAACAATGTTTCCAGTCGCGGAAACGCAGGTGGCTTCAGGTCCTTGTGCTCTTGTGAACTTGTGATCCTATGGTGGATATTGAAACATTATGAAGCTAGGACATGCTAGGACATGCTCGGACTAGTTGGGTGACTCGTTTCATCGACCCTTTTGTGTTTTAGGCCGCGCTGGATGCGGTGCCCTTCGACGAGCCACTGCATCGGGTCTTGTGACGAAGCTGAGACCAAAGAATCTGCTGACACGGTTCCAGTGTTTGGGGTCGTGTGTGTTTTTGTTCTTTGTACCATGGTGGAAATCAGCTTCTCCACCAAATCAGCCTCCAAGAAATCCTTCCACGGAACTGGAACTCTTGCGATTTGCTATGATTTGCTTCATGGAAGGATGCCCGAGCACAGCTCGTCAAAGCTCAGCTCAGCTCAGGTTGCGCCAGGGAAGCTATGAAGTCTCCACCTTGGAAATCCAGCGGCCTGTGCTTCTGGAAGGACAGCCTGCATGGCCGAAAACTTTTTTGGGGTGGTGTTTTGCTTGGCGTTCCAGTGCGAGGTTTCCTTGCAATCAATGGAAACAAGGTTCTTGTTGGGGTCAGATGTGCTATGATGTGCTATGATAGTTGGAGTTAGCTGTGGGAACCCGAGTCAGTGTGAGGGATCGTTTTGTGAATTTGTGACAGAGATCTGGAGATGTACGCGCTTGCCTTGGGATGGGAAAACTTCTCTCGGTGTTGATTTTCCGATGTGTGTGTGTGCGTTTTAGAAGTGGAGGTTTGAATAGATTTGAAACATCAATTGCATTCAACTGCTGCTCTTTGATGCTGCTGCACACTTGAATGATTGAATCCATTCAAGGCCTCGCAAGACAACTGTTCAGAGGGTTTTTTCAGACGGCCCTTGGAACTCGGTCCGTTTCCTACGACGATCCCTTCCAGGCGAAGGCCACTGGGAGACGACCTTGTCATGTGCCTCGAACGGATCCAGGAGAAAGGGGCCGGTAGTGCTTCAGGTTTGCTGGTCTTAGAAGTATAGTCTTCCAAGTGGAACACATGGAAGTAGAACACACGAACACTGTTCCTCAAGGAAACGATACCGATCAAAGAAATGTATAGTAGTCTTCCTTTGGGGCGCGATGTTCCTCATCACCTTTTTCCGCAAAGGAGGGGAGCCAAAGACACCAACATCGCATGCGAGGCGTGCGCTTCTGGTTGCTCGGTCCGGCACGGTCGCCGAGGCACCGGCGGCCCGGTCTTGCGCTTGTCGGGCCTGGCCAGCCATGCGATGGTCCGGAACTTGCGCTTGAAGGAGGGCGGCGGTGGACCCAGGACATACCATGACTTTGTTTGTTTGTGTTTGTTTTTTCTCATGCAGCCGCAGCCCTGCATAGGACAATCAGTTTCTCTCTCTCTCTATATATATATATATATTATATTGGGTGCACAACCGGTCGGTGTCTGTAAATGATTTACTCGAGCAGAGGGGGCTTGTTGTAACACCTCATCACTTTCTCCTTACGTTTGATTTCACAGATGATCAGATGATTAATACAAAACCGGACACAGAAGACATGGGAACTCTCTTTTCAGGACCAGCCAGGACCAGCTTGAACCATACAAACCTGGGTTACACTGTCTTTATACTGTATACTGTATACTGCTTCTACGTCGATCGGGTTCACGTTTGTTTCCATTTGGAGTGCGTCTCTATCCATGCACTCACTATCCAGACATCCGGTGGCCAATGTCTTGGCGACTGGACAAACTAGTGTGATCTAGTGTGTAACGCATTACAGCGCAAACTAGTCTCCATCACATGGTATTTAACAGAAACGGATTGAAGTCATTTCAATCAGCAATCACATGCATGAATTGCTTCTTTCCTTATAGAGGCTTCGTTTCCCTCCATTGCTGATCCAACTTGGATGTTTGAACCGGAAGCTTCTCGGTCGACCCATTCCAAAGGAAAGCAGCGGGTCCTTCAGCATCAGCCTGTTCTCTTGATTCCACAAGATTCAGCCAGTGAAGTCACACTTTTGAGGCGATCCAAGTCGAGGTACCTGAAGGGACCAGTGGAAAAGAACAAACATCAAGACAGGCACCATCAATCATGCACCCCCTCTTTTTGCCTTCGGCCTCGGGACCTTCGGAGGATTTCGGAGCTGGTCCTTCTTCGATGTTCAGCGGCCGTAGCATGGCGTAGCCCAACGCAACGGCCCAACGGGCGCCCAACGCCACGCAGGCTGGAAGCAACGGGACGTGCCACGGTGCCGCGGCGGTGGAGATTCGGACGGAGGGGGAGCCGACCATCGTGGGCTGCCGGCTTTACGCGGAAGGCCCGGTTTCGGGGGACGGTTGTTTGGAAGGACTAGAGGAGATGAGTGGATGACCATAAGCGCGATAAGGGAACACTTCTTATGGGTTTAAGATGGTTTAAGTCTATAATGGCATACATAATGGTATATGTATATTCATGTCAATGTGTTTTCTATATGGGTCTGAATGTTTGGTTTTGTTGTTTGGTTTTGTAGATACTGGAAAACCTTCGGGGATGCGATTGGGATTTCTAGGTTGGCATTTTGTTGGACTGATTTTATTTTTTAGGTTTTTTTCTTTTTTTAAGGTGGTGCAATCTTGAAGGGCAAGTGATGGTTGTAGAGTTGTAGACCATGCCCCCCAAAGAGTTTAGAGTAACTTTCTGGAGATCAACAGCCGGGTGGATCGATTGGAGGTTTGTAGCGAAGGTTTACGCCTTCAACCTGTAATTCATTCAGCTTTGTGCAGGACATTTGCCAGTTCATTCTTCAATATGTTTCATGATCTCCGGAGCGACCAGCCCGACACACTAGCAAGCACCCACAACATCACCACCGCATATTATGCTCTTCAGGCCCGTTTTAGGGTGCTGTACGATAGGTTCTGGCTCCACAGGAGTTTCCGGCCATCAAACGCCGTTTCTTCGCTGTCGGCCGAAGGTTTCTTCCACCATCAGCGGAATGTTGGAACCAAAGGATTTGTGCCATGCATGCAATTTTGTGCCTGGAACCATTCTCTTTCGCGAGCGTTCAACTGAGACGGTGAAGCGAAGCTGTTGATTCGGCCTCGTCTACAAGGTGCCCACTGGTTGCAGCCCCTACAGGCGCTTTTTGAGGAACTCCTGGCACCAGGATGTGTCGACGTGGTCACTTTGCAAGACATGTTGCTCAACGCAGTCACTGACCTGGCTTGGTGCTGGAATCAGCTTCAGCCGCCTTGAGAGCCGTGTTTTTCGCCCAAACGAGGCCGGTCAGAGCTCGGCAAGGCCGAATGGCTGGCGTGGCTTGGTCCGATGCAAAGGTCCATGGGATGGACCGGATCCAACGAAGGAGAAGGAGGAAGCCATTTCGTCATGGTTTCATTCAGAAAGCCCGATCAGCCAATCAGCTGTGCAGAGGCACTGTTGGGATTTGAGAGGAAAAGTATAACATGCAATTTGACTTCCACCCTGGGTGCTCATCATGTTTCCACTTGCTTCCCCAAAGAGACACATAATCCCGTCCCCCTAATAATAAACACGGCCCCCCCCCCCCCTATTAAAAAAACCTCGGTCGCATTTTTTTAAATAGGGGGTCCCTGAAATCGAGGGGGCCAAAATAGGGTCACCTGGAAAGAGTTTCAAAACCAAAAAGTAATCCAGGAACATTTTATAAAAAATCCTTTATTAAACTCATATCAAAAATGCAAAAAACCGCCAGATCGAAACGTCTTCCTTTTCCCCTACAAAAACCTTCATTAGAATAATGATTCTTCAGTAGACTAACAGCTAAAGCTTTCGAAAGGTGATGTCGCTGTGCCATGCGGTGTTGCATGACCTCGGTGGCAAGTGCGTTTGCGTGAGTCCGTGCCATTGAGGGAAGGAAAGCCTGCTGGTGTAAGCGCGGCGTGTCATGGTGGAGTTTTGGGGAACCTAATAAAAAAAACTACCCCCAAAATCGACCATGTTGGTAGTTTAGTAGCGGTTTGAAAGGGCGGCAATTTAAAACCAAATATAAACCGAATTTAGGGGATCCGGCATGACTTTTTTTAAATTGGGGTCCGTTTTTAATAGGTACTCGGGATTATTCAGAGTCTCTTCAGAGGATTGACGAACATTTCTTGACATCCGTGACAAGTAACCCAGTTAGGAAAGATCTGTTAATTTTTTCGGCAAAGCCGTTTTTCGCCACACGTAGATCCACGTAGATCTTGGAGGATCAAAAGGGATGGAACTGAAGATCTACCTGAAAATGGGACATGACCCTCCCGAAGAATCTAGGCCTAGGCCCTCAAATATAAAGGGTTTGGGTTCGGGTCCGTTGTCCCCCTGCGTTTCGGTGTGTCGGGTCCGAGCCCTGCCATGGAGGGCCCGTTTGGTTTCTTATAGGCTATATATATAGCATCAGGTACGACTGTAATACCAGTTTTCCGAGGTACGAACTGAGACTCCAGGTAAAACCATGATGAGTAGACGATCCCTGCGCGACATGCTGACACCGCAGGGCCCTGGGGCAGCTGCATTAGTGCCTACGGGGGCTCACCGCAGATTCTGCGGAACTTTGTTGCCTGGATGAATCAAAGGTTTTTGACCCTTCTCACGTGTGCGACATGATGTGGACATACTTTGCAATTTGAAGAACACCCAACATGCTTGAGCATTTGTTAAGTTTTGCAAGAAGATACAGATGAACAGTTCCAAAGCTTTTTGATCGTGTTTTGTAGTCAAGACCGCTGGAACAGCGGATTGTGGATGAAGATGCATTGTAGATGATCCACAGAAGTGGGTATAGGGGGCACAATGGGGCACAACCCACACCTGGATGCATGGTTGTGGGATTGAGAAGGTTTGGATGTGCAGCAGTGCAGAATTGAGAAAAAAAATCCACCCTTGGCGCCTGAAAATAGCTTGTGCATGAACAACAAGTGCGGGCCTGGGCTCACAGTGTTACAGTGAGAGTTGATGTGTGACGCGGTTTGACGTGGCCATAATATTACTTGCATGTAAGTTTTATGTTTAAATAGATAAAACTACAATATAGTTACACAACCTGAGTGATCCCCTGTTTTGGTTATGTTCCTTTGAACAACAGAGCTCACTTTTGGGTTCGAGGTCATCATTATTACTATTATATACAATATAGACCTAGAACCTGAGTGACTTCTATTTTGGACCACCAACCACCCAAAAAAATGGCCTTTTCCTATCAAAACAGAGGTCAAATGGGTTCTAGGATGTTCTAGGTGTATATATATATATAGCTGTATATATTTTTCCCCACAGTGAAAAGGAAACCCAGTTGTTCGATCGTTGGACCTGTGACAGTCACAGTCAACCTGCTGAGCCCGCTCGAGGTCTCCTGTGCTCGCTGGGGCTTAGTTTTGGTGCAGACGGCGGGGCGCGTGGAGGCGATTTATATCCGCGGAAGACATTGGGAAGAGCCAGCGTGGAATTTTTGAATCAACATCCATCTAAAGATGTGGAGTTCATGGAGTTCCATCTAAAGAAGCTGCAGATATGCAGTTCAAGGGTGCTCCTGCTTGGCCTGGTGTAAATGATCGCTTTCACTCCACATCCATTTTTGGGGCAAAGCACTCACCGCGCAGAGGTGCGTCGCCGTTGTCGCCCGTGCGTCGCTTTTATCGCCGGCGAGTTGGCGAGTCCAACCGCGGTCGCCAATGCGAGGACAACAGTATCCGTGGCCTGGGAGAAGCGGGTGTCGTCCTGGTTGGGGGCAGCACCTTCATCCATAGGCGCCTGGGCAGGTTGCGCGGATGAGTGCGGATGAGTGCGCGGGTGAGTTGCAGAGCGACTCAGAGAAAAGTCTAGGAACACACCGCAGGAGACACCAGAGGATTCAACATGAATCCCAAGCTACTAGTAACAAAGTGCATCGCTACTAGTAGCAAGAAGCTACTAGTAACAATCCTTATGCAATTATGCATATTTACACACGGCAGGAAGCGGGGGCGATTGGGGGCTTTCAAGCTAGAGCTTTGTCAACGCTGTCCCAGCTCCATTCGTAGCGATGCCCTTTGTGACCAGTAGCTTCTTGCTACTCGTAGTAATGCCAGGAGCCCCTAATAGCGTCCTTGCTCCTAGTAGCGATGGCCTTTGTGACTGGTAGCTTCTTGCTGATCACTTCGATATCCAATGATTCCTTCTCTCCCTTTGAGTTCTCCTGCTGGACGATGTTCGCATATCTTCTCCATTCCGCGCGCTGGTTCATTCGGGTAGTTTGGCGCCATGCATGCCTTGCTTGTTTGGGCCGAAGAAAGCCCGCCACACATCGGCGAGGATGAGGACCTGTTGACCTCTTCTGAACAAGCGACCAGCGAGGCTGAAGTCATTACTGTAACAATCAGCTGTGGATGGCTCCAAACATTTGATATGTGATTGTTCCTTCTATAGTCGGGCTCCCACCTGCAAACCTTAAAAGGTGATTCCGGCTCATGTTCATTAAGGTCTATCTTAGCTTCAGGCACAGGGTTGTCGACTGCAGGAAGGTTGGTTCCGCTAGACCTCTTATATAAGCGAAATGTTGCTTGCTCCATGGGTTTTTAGCTGAAGTTCAGTATCGTTTGGTCACTACCCCAGGCAAGACAGTGCTTGGCTAGGGTTCGAACCTACAGACGTAACCCGTGGAATTCTGACAGATGTTACCCACTGCCGCGCCAGGAACAGTTTCTCCGACTGCGGAGGCCCAGCCATCCTGGCGGTCTCAGACTGCTGCGCGGTGCTGCAGAAGAACGATGTCCGTGACTGCTGGGTCCCCGATGTCGGGGACATGTTTTTCTGAAAAAAACCCGCATTTATTAGGAGATGGTTTGCTATAGCTTCATCCTGGATGCAGATTCTCTGAAAATCACTTCGCACGACAATCCCAACTTCAGAGCCAATTAGCCAATTTACGTCACTTCACTTCAGCACTTCGCGACTCCAAAACTCCCAGAAAGTAGCCTTGAAAATGGCACACAAAAGACATGGTCCCCGCTTTTCATTTTATTTTTCGGCAGCTGTACGAAGTGAGATGAAGTAAGTACCCCAGCTGCAAACATGCTTTTGCCCCGAAGTCGGGAAGCCCAGGCTTGAGCGGTGTCAAGGTCATGGGGAAGCGCTCGGAGATCCAGATGCGCTGCTTGGCGCCTGTTCTTTTTATTTGTTGAAAAACACCCGTTCAACGGGGGGAGTGACGGACACTGACCGCTTTTTTGTTTTGTCGTGACAAGAGTGGGTACTGTATGTGGTGGGAGAAGACACCCGGGCCCAGATGTCTCCCCATTAGAGTACACACCTTGTATCGGTATCGGAGCTTTTTGACTCCTTTGGACCCCATGAAGCCGTCATGACCCTCCAGATGGGGTTCCGCCTTTGGGTTCGAAGCAGATGGGGTTCGATGCGGTTCCACATGAACCGCAACACCACACGACCCTCCGGTGGAGCCTTTCGACCGGGCGACCTGGATGACCAAAGGATGTGCCACCGAGGTGGCTCCTTTTTGCGACCTGCAACTACATCCTCAGAAGGTATAGTTAGACCTCACAAGCCCTGCCATCCATCCCTTCTCAGAAAGTACTTGGAGGCCCAACATGTTCACACTACCTATAAAATTGTCCAAGATGGCCATTGGCTTTGGGATATTTGAGATCCAGCAAGTTGGTACAAGCCACTTTAACAGAGATCATGTTTGTAATGTGTGTTTTTTTTTTTTTTAAACGCACACCATTATGCTGTTGTTGTTTTGTTTTTTTTTAAAGAAACGTATTCTTTCTTAATCTGTTGTTTAAATGGAATAAACAAACACAACCAAGACAATAGGGTGTCTTTCAAATAAGAAAACATACAAGTTTCGTTTAAACATCAATCAGTCCTGAGTTCACAAAAAAAAATGTCATACAGCTGCTCATAATTTGTTCATTAAACCCAAAGTCATACTTGTTCAAAACGTTCGAAAGAACATATGAAAAACAATACGAACAATTATGAACAATACGAACAATATTGAACTATGAAGCATGGTAAAAACATAGTCCTGTGAACAAAACATAGATGTTCTTACCATGCTTCATAGTTCAATATTGTTCGTATTGTTCATAATTGTTCGTATTGTTTTTCTTAATGATTTCATAGATTCGGTTGTATGGGTGTTCATTAAACAACTGACATCATTTCAACAACATATTTTAAACAACAAAACGTTCATAGCAGACTTGTTAGGTCTCAAGATGATGTCACTGAAAATGGCCAGACTGCGCCGGTCCCGCGAGGTACCGGGAACCGGCTGTTGCACAACGGCATCATGGATGAGCATCAGCCTGGTTGCCGAGGGGCGAACGCGCTCCGCGGTACGGGGATGAACGCGGTGCGCGGTGCGCGGTAGCTAGCGGCGTTTCGATGGTAGATTGTGGATTCATAACTTCTCAATTGAATTGGACATCCTCTTCATATGTTTGTTTTTGGTATGTTTTTTTTTGTTGATGGCATGGAACGCTTGAGACTTGAAACTCCTCACGTGGTCGACACTTCGTAGCTGCTTTTACTTAAGCGCCCAAGAAAAAGGGAGCGATCATTCGAGCGCCGCCATTTCGTTTGGAGCCGACCTTTCGTTGTGGTTTCGCTTTCAAGAGAAGAGTTTTTTGCAGAGCGGTTGGTTGCAAACCTGGTGACTCACACCAGGTTATGAGCCCAAGGGTTCATGCTGGAGCATAGGCGAAGACAGGCCACCCGGCAAGAGCTCGAACAGGGCCAAAAGGAGATCCAGGCAGCAGATGCCAGGATGAAGCGGGAAGCCAAAAAGAGAGGCGAACTTCCAATCGAAGATGCTAAGGTTGGAAGGGGGGGGGGAAAGGAAGCTCAGCGCCTGAAGACAAGGGGCATGATGTTGGCTCCACCCGATCGCCGACGGTCACCCTGCCATCCACCGAGGAAAGCGCCTCGGCTTCTAAGGCACCAGCAGTCTCAACTCCGAAGCCCATTGAGGATGAATCAGGTTTGCCAAAGCCGCCTGAAGAAGCACATGCCAGGACACCACAGGTTCTGGGACCGAAGGGTCATGAGAAAAGGGAGTCACATGGTGTTGAAGTGCTAGATGAGAACCAAGGTCATGAGATGATTGAAGCAGGTCCCCATGGTAGGACACCGGAATCGCATGCTGTGACCATGGCTCCACTCTTCACGCCTGAACAGTTGGAATCGTTGCACCAAGTACAAGCCCAAGCTCCATGGCTTTATGCTAGGTTGGAAACGCCACAAGCACCAGCATTGCAGCGGCCTTCGTTTCTTCCCTCCACTGATCGTGACTGGAGGGTGAGAAAGGAAGAAATGGACAGTAGAAGTTCTCAAGAGTTGATAGCCCATGTCCAAACTGCCGAAGCTGCAGAGAAAGAAGATCTTCTTCGCCACCTTCGACAGCTCACCTATGAGAATGGTTTGCTGAGGGATGAGGGTCAAAGAAGAGTTCGAGAAGAAGTTGTGAAGCCACCGGCAGGTCTCCATGAACGACATGTTCAAACCCTGTTGGAAGAAAACCTTCGATTGCAGCAGGAGCTTCGTCGAATGTCCTCGATCCTGCCACCAGCCAAGGAAGACGACCCGATCTTTGCCACGCCGAATGGAAGTTCTGGTCGTGAAGAAGGAACTGGAGGACGGGGGAGAAAGACACAACAAAGGGTTGAAGAGACTGATGGACGAAGGTCCAGTGAAGTTGATGATTCAAAAGGTCAAGAAAGCACCGCACGCAAAGAAACAGAAGAAGAGCCAGTAAAGAACAGTGGCACTGGAAAGGGCAGAGGGTCAAAGAAGAAAGAAGTGGGAAGTGAAGAAGACAGTGTGCATCACCAGACCTTGCAGGTGATCTTGAAGGTTGTGGAAGGAATGCAGAAAATGCAGGATCGAATGTCAAAAGGATCCTCGACGGACTTGGAAAACGAGCCCGAGATGGTGAAGCACAATGTTGAGCTCCCCAAACTACCGGAATGGAATTGTGAGTCGGCGCCAATTGATTTCGCTGACTGGCTTCTGCTCCTGGCACCATTGATGGCTGACCTGACCTCAACGTCAGAAGAGTGGTGGAATTTGACCTTGGAGGAATCTCGCCAGTGGTATCAGCGCCACCTCACCAAGTCGCCCTTGGACCGATTGACCCACCAGATATCGCCAAGTGCCAAGTTGACAACTCGCAAGTGGGCACGATTGGAGAAGCGAACTACAGCCCTACTCCTGTCTGCCATTCCAGAATCCCTTCGTGAAGAAGTTGTGTCGAGCAAGAGTTTGTCAACTTTTGGAATTCTGGTCAAAGGCATGATTGCCTACCAGCCTGGAGGCCTTTCTGAACGTCAGGCTATTTTAGCCGCCCTGGAGAATCCAATGGAGGCCACGTCAATTGGCCAAGCAGTCATGACACTTCGGAAGTGGCTGCGATGGCGGAGGCGGGCGGAGGAAGTGGGAGTTTCGATTCCCGACCCCACGATTTTGGCCCGTGGACTCAGCAAGCTGACAAAGAAATTGGTGGTTCTTCATCCTGAGCTCCACTTCAGGCTGCAGCTTGTCCGCAGTTCGTTGATGGTTGATGCTGTCCCAAGCCATGATGCCATTTCGAAGTACAGTGAGCATCTTCTTGCTGAGCTAGAACAAATGGGGCAGCAATCCCGAAAGAAGGAGAACACCGTCGACTTGCCGAAGGTCAAGAAGTTTGAAGAGCAAGGAAAAGAAACAAAAGAAAAGAAGGAGGCCAGGGACGGTGATGACAAAGAGAAAGGGAAGTGTCGGTTCTTTTTGACGGACCAAGGATGTCGCAGGGGGGAAGCACTGTGGGTTCTCTCACGACCAAAAAGATGACAAGAGACGCTGCTGGGTATGTGGTTCACCAGATCACTTTGCACCGGCCTGTACAAGACCAAAAGATTCCAAAGAAAGCCCACCGAAGCCAAAGATCGCCAAGGCAGAAAAAGAAAAAGGTGGGAAGCAGAAAGGGGAAGAAGAAGGAAGTGATGATGTTCAGCCGGCCATCAAAGAGCTTCTCAAGGAAGCCAATGACATGTTGCGAGGGATGAACACCACTCCATCCCCATCCTCTGCAAGTACCTCACCATCCGCGAAAGGTGGCGACTCTCCTGAAAGAAATGAAGTGGTGGAGAAACTCCAACAGCAGCTCAATGCCCTCCGACAGAAGGTATTCCAGTTGTGCCGGCTCAAGAAGGGGGAAAGACAGGGCTTGCTGGACTCAGGGGCGACGCACCCTCTCCGCCCAAGCAAGAAATGTGAAGACAAGTCCACCTACCGTGTGGTTCAGGTCTCGCTTGCCGATGGACAAGTTGTTGACATGCCAATCTCCCCAGGAGGTTCCATGGTGTCAGATGATGATGACATTGAGCCAATAGTTCCGATGGGACTGCTCACTGAGGCCCTTGGATGCACGGTCTCCTGGTCAAAAGATCAGCTTCAGGTCCACCACCCTCGACGTGGAAGACTTCCAGTTAACCAGAAGGATGGATGTCCTCAGCTGCCTCGTGGTGTGGCCCTTGGTTTGATTGAGGAGATTGAGCAAGTGAAGAAGGGAATCAAGTTCAAGGAAGATGACAGTTTCCACGATGAAGTACAGTGGATGAAGCACTTTGTGGAAGCCCATCCGGTGTTTCGCCGGCTTCCTGAAGAGATCAAGAATTCGCTGGTCGTGAAACCAGGTGAATGGTCCTCTCTGCCGGCCAATCGTCGGAGGAGGAAAGCGATGAAGAGAGATGGTTTTATCTGCCACTTGTACGCCGGGGAGGAGGAAGGTTTCACTCTCCAAAGGGCATGGAAGCAAGTTGGTGGAGATGAAAAGGAGTTGCTCGAAGTCGACAAGAAGAGGGGTTCCGGTCACGACATGATCCTGAACACTGGTCCCTATGCAGGTCTACTTCGAGCTGTGTGGGAAGGAAAGCTGCTCGGCCTAGTAGGGGGCCCAAACTGCAGGACAAGAAGCGTCCTGCGACATCGTCAAGTTGAATGGACGGACGCAAGACCTCTTCGAAGATGGGGGGGGTGAAGAGTTTGGCATTGTGGACGCAAGTCCAGAAGAAAAAGAAAAGTTGAAAGAAGATGATCAGTTGCTGTGGAGGATGATTTTCCTAGCTGCCTTGGACACGTATTTGAGACGTGCCAGAGGACTTGATGGACAGCTTGGATTCGCCCTGGAACAACCAGCATCACCGAAGGACTATGAGGCAGCAGTGGTCTCATTTTGGGACACCCTTGAGTGGCATGATCTTCGAAAGGAGTTCGGCTGGATGGAGACGACCTTCAGTCAAAAGCCGCTTGGAGGGGCTGCAGTGAAGCCCACTACGGCTGGTGGGAACCTTGAGCTAGCTCCTGAGGAATTTTCCATCAATGGCCAGATCCATCACCACGTCCGTGGGTCATGGGACCTAGCCAGATGGCCTCCGGGGATGATGTCGATGATTGCTGAGGCTTTGATGACTCAGGTTTTGCGAAGGCCAGTCAAGCTCCGTGCACTCTCCTGGGAAGAGCACCTGCTGCTGGGCCACACACCAAGTAGAAGAGACTGCCGTGTATGCCAAGAAACGCGACAGCAATGCTCTCCACACAGAAAGGTGGAACACAAGTTAGCAGGGGTCCTGTCATTGGACACGGCCGGACCGCTGAAGCCAGCGTATGACCTAGGAGGTCTTCAGTCCCGCTACTTCTTGGTTGGGACGCTCACATGGGCACTTCCACTGGGCTTTGATGCTGACGTCCAGGGGGAGGAAGCTCAGGAAGGTGAAGATGAAGAGTTGTGGCCCTTGATTGAGGCCAATGAAGAAGAAGAAGAAGCTGATCAAAAAGATGATCAAGCACCAAAAGATGACCAGGTGCCGCCAAAGGACAATCAGGTGCCACTTGGTGAACGTCGAGGAGGATTGTCGGACGCTGAAGAAGAGGCGGGCCGAGGAGTCTTCGATGACGATGAGAGTGAAGAAGATGAAAGGGCCACTGAGGCCGAAGGAGAAGAAGATGAAGGGGCCATTGAGGCCGAAGGAAAAGAAGGTGATGCTGGGCCGCCAAAAGACTTCAAGATTGAGATCTTCAGGTTGGCATTGCCCATGCATTCGAAGAAGTCCAAAGAAGTCACAAGGACGACCATGGACATGTTGTTGAGGTTGAGGATGGACGGATACTCCGTCGCTCAGATACACTCTGATCAAGGCCATGAATATGCAGGCCATTTTCAGGACTGGACAAGGCGGCGGGGAATCATCCTCACCAAAACCGCCGGGGACGAACCCCAGTCCAACGGACGCGCAGAGGCCGCAGTGAAAGCATTGAAGACGATGGTTCGCAAGGCTTTACACCAGGCCAAAGAAACTTCGAAGTGGTGGCCATGGGCCCTAAGGCACTGCAACGAGGTTCTCAGAGCAAAGAGGCTCCACCAGTCTCCTGACTTCCCGCCCTTTTTGACGGAGGTCATGGTTCGGAGGAGAAGATGGAAGCGGGATGACCTGGCCCCAACAAGTGAACGGGTGAGGTACCTCTGTCCGGCCCCTGAGAACCACGGACACTGGATCGTGAGGGACGATGAAAGACCCAGGCTCACGAGATGCTATATGAGGAGGTTGGAAGACCCACCGACAGAGAGGCATTGGATCGCCCTTGAGAAGGAAGTTTTGGACGGCCTGAGCCTTCGGAGGAGGATTCGAGGTAAAACCGCCGTCAAAAGACTTCAAAAGGAGGTTGAGGATGAAGAAACAAAGGAAGAAAAGTTCCGGAACCAGGTCAAAAGACTGTTGGAAGAAGAAGCACTCCTGGCGCTAGAAGATCCGCCAAGCATTGCCATCCTGACGTCACAGGTGGTGGCCAAGATGAAGAGATCGTTGGCACAAGAAAGCCCAGAAGAAGAAGAAGTCCTCCAAACCCGAATCGTGTCTCCAAAAGAAGTCGCAGCAGGCTGGGTGATGTGGGAGGCTCCTTCACAAGATGAGATTACATCTCTCCTCACTGACAAGCTAGCTTTGAAGCCGGTCACAAAGATGGAGGTGAAAAGAATGGTGGAAGATGCCGAGTCAAAAGGGGTGAAAGTTGAGTTCATTCCTTCCAAGCTCGTCTTCACCCGCAAGCCTGGAAAGAAGGGAGGAAAGAAGAAAGTCCGCTGGGTCGTTTGCGGAAACTTCGAAAGCAAAGATCCAAATGAAGAAAACTTCTCTGCTGGAGCCGACTCAGCTGCCCTTCGAATTATGGTTTGGGTGGCAGTGGTCTACCAGTGGGAGGGCTGTGTGGTGGACGTCAAGACAGCCTTTTTGAACGCCAAAATGTCTCAAAAAGAAGATCAACAGCTGCTTTTGGTATGCCCACCTGCCTTTTTCGTGGAGCGTGGATTGCTGGCCAAGGACACGTACTATGTCCCACTCAAAGCGGTCTATGGATTCCGCCGCTCGCCACGCCTGTGGGGTGAGCACCGTGATGAAGTACTCCAAAAGATGGAGATCGAAGTTGAAGGAGAAGAAAAGCCCTTGTGCCTAGAGGCCTTGGATTCGGAGCCAAACTTGTGGAGGATTGTCGAACTCCATCATGACGAAGATGCACCAAAGCTCCGAGGGCTTTTGATGACTTATGTCGATGACATCATGATCACTGCCGAACGAAAAGTGATGTTGGCAGTCAAGGATCAGTTGCAAGCTCAGTGGATGACATCAAGTCCTGAGTACATAGCCGAAAAGCCAGTGAAGTTTTTGGGCATGGAGATCATCAAGCAGGTGAACCCGGAGACTGGCAGAGATCGATGGCTCATTTCTCAACAGTCTTACACGACAGATCTTCTTGAGCCAGAAGTACACCAGCTCCGAGAGAAGAAGATCCCGATCTCGAAAGATCAATCGGCCATGGTGGACGATCCAAGCCCACCAACAGCGGCAGACATCAAAGCTGCCCAAAAGACCGTAGGAGAACTCCTATGGATGGTGACGAGAACGCGCCCCGACATCATGTACGGCGTCTCAAGGATGGGTTCAGCTGTCCTCAAAGGAACACAAGCAGTTCTCGAAGCCTCCAAACAGATGAAAGGCTACCTTTGGAAGACGAAAGAAGAAGGCTTGATTTTTGAAGAGGAGGCCAACACTGAGCCAGTGATCCATGTGTACACTGATGCTTCTTACTCTCCAACGTCAGAGGAGAGCCATGGATGCCTGGTGGTCCTCCTGGGAAACAGCCCAATCCTGTGGCGATCTGGACGGCAGTCGACGATCACTTTGTCAACTGCTGAAGCCGAGCTGAACGAAGTGATTGAAGGTATGGTTGCAGGAGAGTCCATAGGGGTGATTTTGGATGAGCTGTTCAAGCCCGTCGTTCGCATGGCTTGGACAGATAGCCAATCAGGAATGACGATCCTGACAGCCGAAGGCGGCAGCTGGCGGACGAGACACCTCCGCATGCGGTCTTCCTATGCGAGGCAAGTCATCCTCGACGGACTGTGGACCTTGCACCACGTGCCAGGTGAGAAGATGATTGCAGACTTGGGGACGAAGGCACTTGCAGCTCCTCGAGTCGAAACCCTCAAGAAGCAGCTCAACATGGGGCTACCTCTCAGAAACACCGAGGTGAAGAATGAAAAAGGAGAAGATGAAAGTGAATGGAATGAAGAGGGAAAGGTGAAGAAGGAAGCAAAGGAAGTGAAGGGCCAAAATGAAGAAAAGGCCAATGTGATCATTAAGTTGATCACGATCGCCGCTACACTGGCAAGCGCAAAGGCGCAGGGGGAGCATGAAGATGATGAAGAAGAAGTCTTGGGATGGGAAGTTATGATGATTCTCATTCCCCTGGCTCTGATGGTGCTTCTCTTAGTTTGGTGCCTGAAGGAGGGAGTAGCACGTAGCCGAGACCAATCACCAAGTGACCAAGAGCCGGCAGTGCGAAGTCCTCCCAGGACACCACCTCGACGAGAAGCCAGAATGCGAGCCATAAGAAAGAAAGAAAGTGAAGATGATGAAGATGAAGTGTCTCGGCCATCTCATTTGCCGAGCCCAATCAAGTCACCAGGCTCTGCTCACCTTCCTCACACTCCTACTCAGCCTTCAGGTTCTGCTCACCTTCCTCACACTCCAACTCAGCTTCCAGTGACTCAAGTCACAATGTGGGGTTTTCCTTCCCCCCAATGGTCGATGGCTCCAACCAGAAAGGTCACCGTCATCTCCGACGGGATGCCGCTTGGATAGCCTGAGCGAGATCAGAAGGAAAAAGAAGAAAGAGGAGGCGGAAAAGACTCGCAAAGAAGAAGAAGAGGAGGAGCGAAGGAACGAAGAAGAGGGATCAACTGGGGCTGCATCATCTGCCACGTCGGCATCAGCAAACGCCCAGTCACGATTCCAGCAGAGAGGAGAAAGCAGTGCACACGCGAAAGCACATGTGCGGCCTCCGCCAATGCAGCAAGGTGAAAGCCAGGATCCAAAGATCTTGACAACCAAGTTCGGTCGAGTCCATCACCGAACGATGATGTGCCCTTACTTGACCAATCCTCGGACGGGGACGGTCAAGGAGAGTCGATGGTGCGAAGAGTGCACCAATATGATGGGAACGATGACATCTGTCACCCTGTGGACAACCAGTTGGGGTGGCATTGCACACTCGAACAGGGTGTGTCGGTTGCTTCGCGGTGAGGTCCTCCGATACACGCCCTGCTCGGCCTGTTCTGGCCAATGAAGACGAAGCAGCTTGAGCTGGAAGACCAAAAGCGGTCGAATTTTGAAGGAAGAGAAAATGGAAAAGCCATAGCAGCCTGACGTCGCTATGGAGGGGGAGTGTTGATGGCATGGAACGCTTGAGACTTGAAACTCCTCACGTGGTCGACACTTCGTAGCTGCTTTTACTTAAGCGCCCAAGAAAAAGGGAGCGATCATTCGAGCGCCGCCATTTCGTTTGGAGCCGACCTTTCGTTGTGGTTTCGCTTTCAAGAGAAGAGTTTTTTGCAGAGCGGTTGGTTGCAAACCTGGTGACTCACACCATTTTTAATAATTAAGAGTCGTCTACATAAAACCACCCCAGGAAAGAGAACAAACACAAGGTGTTTCTTCATGTTTCTAAGGGTGGAACGACTATAGGGTTTCAACTGTTTCAATGTTTGGCCACTCAATGACTCGATTCGGTGGAAACCACTGCTTTGTTCTTTGGTTTGTGGCCGCTGTCATACCATGAAACTGGCATGTTCCATGGACAATCCTGATGACACAATTGGACATGCTGGACATTGACCCGCTGCTTCCGTTCGGGGTCGCCTGGCTGGACAACCCTAATTACTTGTATAGGTCTCCAGACAGAACACCCCTGACAATAGACCCTCAAAGTGTCAGGCACCCTTTGTAGTGTCAATTGTACCCTACACTACTTCTCTCCTACAGAACCGCTAGGGACCCTCTGCAATTCTTCCGTGTTCGGGTCGGTCGTGATTGGGTACGACGAAGCAACGGGTCGAGGTCAGAAACTACCCGGAACTATCCTGTTGGAACTCATCGTCAGAAACGCGTGGATCGAAACTCAAGTCATCTAACATGTGTTTCTATTTGCCGATTTGGCTCGCAGTGCCCAATTCCAGTATGCCAAGGCATACCTGTCAAGCCGGATCCTTCCCAATCAGAAGAAGATTTGGTTTGAACACCCGACAAAGAGAGGCATCCAAACTCATTGGTCCACAATGTCGCGAGTCTTTTTTGATATTTGCCCTTGCGTGAAACAAATAACATGAACTTGATGTCAAAGCCGCGAGGGACCATCTCTTGTGGCGAAGCACCACTTCATGTCGATTGCCTAACATGTCGATTGTGGAGTGGATGTTGGTGCCGCAAGCGCACTCACCGGATCTTCCCTCCGGTTCGCTCACCTCAGGCTCGAAGCACCTCCAGGCGTCATCCCCATTGGTGCCACGGCGACGATCAAATCCTGCAGGTGGGAAGTCCGCGGTCACCGCGTGGTCCACCGGGCACGGTCAAACGGCGGGCCCCGTCTGGTCGTGCGGAGGTCGTCCTGGAAGAAGCAACGCTAGGGTCGGAGCCATTTGCCAGTAGTAATGCCAGGAGCTACTAGTAGCTTCTTGCTACTAGTAAGGTGCTTTGTTATTAGCGTCCTTGTTCCAAGAGAAACATGGACTATGGATCGCTGAGATCACCAAAGGTCACTAGTTACAGATTCAGATCGTCGACGGTTGTAGTGCCACAGTGACCCGGGAGCGATCGTGTTTTTTTTTCAAGTACGGTGAAATCGTGTTGGAGTTTGGAGCGTCCAAAGACGCGCCGCATGTGTGACTTAAAGTCTTAGACTGCCGCAATTGAAGTCTTTGACTTTTCTGTTCAGTACAACTTCAGACGTTCGATGAGTTCAGGAATTCCTTGCCTTGAAACATGTTGAAACGCTGTGTCAGAACCAGAACCACTCGAAGCTCTTCACTGGGCAATGAGTCGACAGACAGCAGGCCCTTCAGCTTTCTACCCAAGAGCACAGAGGAGCTGTCACAACGCTTGAAGATCAGTCAGGAGCGGGAACCCGCTTCCCAAAAAACTGGTGACGTGTTTTCTTGCTTGCGGGTTTGTGTGCTGGGAGAGCAAAGAAAGACTGGATGACTCAGTCTTTTTCCACTGCGGATGGCTGTTTTGGGGTCTCCCTCCATGAAGACTTCCATCTTCCAAGAGGTGTTTTTGTGATTTTAGGTGGAGCCAGGGCTGATTTTCCACTTTCATATCTTATGGTAGGTTGGGAACATGACCACCGTGAGTATAGTTCGTCCTAATGGGTCGATTAGCCAATGGGTTTTCAATTCCCCAACTTCCCAGAATTGAGCAGGAGATGGAAGAGATTTTGGCTTGGCCTTTGAATTGAGCAGAGATGCGACCTGGTCGCCGGTTCCGGCGACCTGGAAGGCAACACGGAAGGTGACCGGTGCCAGTTCAGTGTCAGGAGTACTCGGAACTGCTGATCCTGATCCGCGCGGCTCGGCGCAAGGCTTTATGGGCACAGGCGTGACCGGTCGATGCCGATGAGTGCTTGAGAATCTTACACCTTTGGGGGGCTATTTAACTTTCCTATGATGGCGCCTTTAGATTCAAGTAGGAGTAGTAGAACATCACGCCTATTCACCGTCACCCGTTGCTTTCCTTGAGGGCTTTTTGAACGGGATAGGCCTTACTAGATCGATATCAAATTAGGAATTCACTTGTCTTCTCTCATATTATTATGTTTCAGAAGATACCCTGATTGGTTAAGGGCAGGCTGATACCCTTGGATCACCAGTTTACCGTGGGGAGCAGGCATCGCTCTTTCATGTTTTTCATCGCTCTTTCAGGTCCTAGAAATCTGTTAGAGCATAGAGGAGCCTTGATATCTCAAAGGAACCTTGATGTTTAACCCTGCTTATTTCGCGTGCAGGACACGATCCAAATCTCGTTTCAACAGACAAAGTCTTCAAATTCACGTTTTCAGGGTCTAGAAACAACGATTCAGGTCAACCACCTGCAACCTCTTCTCATAGACCAAACCACATACATGTTTCTTTTTTTCCAGGCAGCCAAAGCCTTCGGCCGACTGCAGCAGCTGCCAGAGCCCGACCTGCGGCCCGGTGGCCGCGCACGGCCCGGTGCCGCGAAGGTGGCGCCGGCGGCGCGGGAGGTGCTGGTGGCAGGGACGCTGAGGCTGCAGAAAGTGGAGGAAGGCGTTTTCCCCGCTTGTCAGGTGAGGCTTGTTGGATGTTATGTCAGTTGCCGTCCTCCTTCTCGTCCTCCGCCTCGTCCTCCTCCTCCAGACCTCAACCGCAAGTGCAGGATGGCAGTGTTCCCCGCCGGACCTCAACCGCGAGCTCCGGATGGCAGTTTTCCTCGCCGGACCTCAACCGCGAGCTCCGGATGGCAGTGTTCCCCGCCGGACCTCAACCGCGAGCTTCGGCTGGTAGTGTTCCCCGCAGGACCGCAACCGCGAGTCAGAAGATATGCCAGATAGAACTGAAAGAATGTCAGAAAGACTGTCAGAAAGCATGTCAGAAGATATGCAGAAGATATGCCAGATATAACGCCACAAAGAAGTCAGATAGAGTGTCAGAAGACATGCCATAAAAAATGTCAGAAGATATGTCAGATAGGATGCCAGAATGAATGTCAGAAGTAGCGAAAAGGCGGCGATGCAGCTCGTTCATGAGTTTCACAGGCATGCTGTGAACAAGCTTCCAACCCATCCACTTTTCGTTGCGCCCATTGGGTGGGCGGTCGATCCAGTAGGTTTCGCCACGGTCTGGCCGTTTGTGAATGGAGTGCCTGTCGGAAGGGTGTGTCCAACAGCAGCCTCAAGCATATTGCGGCTCTGGCGGATTTCTGCCATCAAGGCCCTTTCCCATGCAATCTTGAATGAGTTCGCCTCTTCACTTTGATGACATCGTGGTAGTGAGTGGGCGATGAACTACGGTTTCTTGATTGGAGCATGGCCCCAAGCACTGACACTGGAAGTTTGCAGGTGCTACCACCAGCTTGCCGGCATGGAGGGGCTCAACGTGCCGCCCCTTTATCTTCCAAGAGCGCAGCTAATGATTGCTCTAGACTTTCTTTGTCGCTGCGGTCATTGCTTTGTTCTTTGGTTTTCTTCGGCTTGGGGAGAAAGATATTGCAACTAGCTTGACTTGTCCTGGCGGCCCGATGCCGGAGAGTGTGTCACATAGGATTGGCGGCGTGGGATGCATGATCTACAAAGCGGCTTTGGCTGATGACCCAGAAGAACATGGAGTTCCTTGGGAATCCTTTCAGGATTGGATTCTTTGACGGCGTCGCGCTTTGCTCCCAGAAGATCAGCTTTGAAAAAAACGCTTGGTTCTTAAGTCCGGGGCTGTAAAAGCCTAGGGCCATGAAAGCAGGACTTCTTGTGTGGAGGCAAACATGTGTTTGCACGGTTGGTGCAGGAAAGGATTGCCATTGAAAGATGAGCAGCTCGCACCAACCACAAGTCATTGACGACCAATCACAGACTCCCACAGCCCCATTTCCAAACTTGAGATGTCAGTAAAACTTGGAGGGTTATCTACTCTATTTTTTTGGACCAGGTTTAGGATTGTTTTGGAACTACTTTCCTGTTTTTCCCGTTTTTCTGCTTCTTCCATTTTTTAAGAGGATCTTTTATGCCGCCTCTCTGCTTCTGTGTTGCTTCATTCTCTCGCTTCCTTGCGTTGGTTGCTTTCGTGATCTTTCGTGCCTGTATGTATCTATCTGTCACATCAAAAAGAATGTCAGGAGATATGCCAGAAAACAAACCAGAAGATATGCCAGAAAAAAAACGAAATAATGTTTCAATACACGCCAGAAATTTGTCAGGTGGGGATCGCTCGAAGTAAAGTAATTTTTGTTTTGTTTTTGTTATTGACCACAAATGGAGTAAAATGTCATGAATTCCTGACTGACAAAATTCTCAATAGCTGAGAATTGTGGGCGGTTGGGGGGGATCCCATCCAATTGCTGACAGTGTAAAGAGTAATGTTGAAAGAGGACTGGGAATGCACAATACATACCTCATCCATATGAACAATACCAATGGAACAGGGGGTCCCATCATTCCCAGGTGGAGAAGAGATTCCAGCAACATGTTTCATTACTTACTCGTGTTGCATGATACCGGTGGAGGAGTCGGGTTGGTCGGAGCGCCATTTTTTCCCAATATCTAATTTTATATGATCTTAACTGTTTTCATTTGTTTTCTCATGAACAAAGTCACAACAAAAATGGGAGTTGCGATCCGCGGACTCACCTGCCCAGAGGGTCCAGGTACTGCCTGATACCTCCTTTTCGGATGGTCTTGGAGGTGAAAGGACTTCCAATGTGGTTTGCGCTAAGGGACATTTTCAGGATGGTCCTGGGTTTTTGGGCCAATTTTCTATAACTGGCTCTATCCCCAACTGTCTTAGTGGATCTCAGGCAGCCACTATAAAGAACCGAGGTTTAGGTCTAGGATTTAGTCACGGAATCACTGGCTGCCAGCTATAGTGATAACCGGATTATGAAATTATGTATTATCATGATATTATGATACAATATGATACATTATTATGATGCCTCCCCATCCTCTCATCTAAACAGGAAGGCCTGGGACGGCCCTGGTGCCGGCTATGGAGAGCAGCGCCCGGGGCATGGAAGGGCAGAGGAGAAAAGGGTATAGTCGTGTGTTCTTATGACCTCAACTGGTGGTCAATCTCAACTCACACAAACAGTGACTGTGTGCATGTGTGTTTAAATCAAAATCCACACGATGCAAGGGATATTTATATGTATTATATATGGTTCTTTGTTTTGTAAACAGAAACTTGAAAAGTATGTTAGTCATTTGTGAGTCAGATTTTTGATTGGTATGTGGTAAGCAAGACGTACAAGTTGCGAAGATTGTTATGTTTTCAGATGTGAAGGTTGGCAAAATAAACCAGTAGACATACACACAACTTTAGTATGGCCTCAGCTTTGTTCAATCAATTTTCCTGCGGTCGGCAAGTTTCTTCCAGTGGAAAGCGGTACAGAAACAGGATAAAGCTGGGTTTGTCCAGTTTCAAACCTTCCAAAGAGGGGTACAGTGGGAAAACCTTCGACTTGAGGTTGTATACTCGGAGTTGATCGGAGCTCTTTTTGGGGGTGTTGTCTTCAAGTATATAGTAGGGCACAGGATTCACTGGGAGGGCATCCCAGTCCATTTGTCCCCAGTGTTCCGCAATGGGCTCGATAATTTCCTTTTTTCGAGGGATGTGGGGTAGCAATCTGCCAGAAACATGCCACAGCGACCACGGGACTCCAGTATTCAGTTGATCCAAGAACAATGCCAGAACTTCCAAGGAGTCATCCACGACATGGCTCTCAGGGTATGCCGGATCCACCAACACAACGGAATGGGAGGTCAGAGATATTTGCACTGGCTGGAGTAGCTGGGCTGTGGATCCAACAAGTCGGACTTGGGGGCCACCGGCGTGAGATGTTGGAGACTTCCCAGACACTCCATGGAGAGTGAATATTTAAATACATTCATTCAATTCGTAGTTGAAACAGGGTCAATCTAGAAGTATGGGTATATAGATCTTCCAGTAACATGGAGTGTTTGGCTTTGGAACTCTATACGCGCCACTGCACCGACTCTATTATACTCGGCCCGGTGCTTCAGGTGTGTGGCGGTGCTGCCAGGCACCATGTGCGAAGTGCTCCGGCGTGGGCCGCAGGGCTGGTTGTTGGTTTGGACCTCGGGTGTCGCAGCTGCAGTGAGACGATGTCACACCAAGTCTTCGCCCTGGGAATCTTCCTACCTGGGTCCCTGGCTCATTGTCGGAATTAATATATATATATATTATGATGGCACCGTGGCGAGTCGCTTGGACCTAACTTGGGTTGGGGACCCACATGAACCACCAAATGTGGGTTCATATAAATGTTTGTGAGTTGTTCAGTTGTTCAGGGGTTTTCTAGCAGCTATTGTGTGCAACCCTGTGAAATCAACGATTCCATGATGCTCAAAAAGGCCATCGTGGACCTTGCTGTGCGAAAAAGTCCGCTTGGCCGCTTGGTGCCCGCGTGCCCCAGGTAACCAGAGGGGCTGGTGCAGCCCCCACGTCTTTGGCTGAAGGATGCGAGACAGGGACTGTGTCGCCTTGGTGCCTTGGTCGTCCGAGCATTTGACATGCAACATCCTTGACAACAAGTGTCTTTCTTTTTTGCTACATACAAGACAAACTCGCTCAAGATGGTCTTAGGTTTGGCATGTCCTGGTTTATGTGCAGGCATGGGAACTCAAGTTAATACTTGACTGTCTCACGCGTGTGACATTGAGCACCGATGCACCGCACAAATGCTCAAGGCCCATTGCCACCGTGTGTGGCGTGTCTCCAGTGCGGCGGCAAAGCACTGTCGCAGCTTGCAAACTGCCGCAGCGTAGCACATGTTGCGAAAAGCACGGGTCATTTCGGGGCGCCTGGTGGCTGTGCTCAGGAACAGATGTTCTGTTTCCAATGCTTTCTCTACCAGAATTTCCCATAGTACTATTTATAGTAGTATAGCCATCTCTTTGTTTAGCTGGCCATTTAAAATTCGTCCTCCAGTGGAACATGCTCCTCCCGGTGCGGTTCAACCTTCTGCCTCGGCGAATTCGGGCACTTCCGAAGACGACATGAACCTCCTAGATCCAATCCAGAATGAAGCTCTTCGGGTGCATATTTTCTTTTCAAAAACTAATGGTTCATGGCCATCCAATGGTGTTTAGGTTGAAGGGAGTGTTGAAGGAAGGTGTTTTGATTCATTCAAACATATTTGAGCCATCTTCTAGTCCAACAAAATCTTCCAGTTTGTCCTTCTCTCGAACCGCGTTGGCTGCCTGCCACACAATTGCCCGCCGCCCTGCCGCAGCCGATTTTTTGGCGCTTGGAATCCCTGCCGCATCACGTTGACCACACGAACCAGCCCGGAACAGGTGTGTGCACGTGTTGGAGGCCAGTTGGGGAGTGGGTGATGGGGCAACATGGTACAAAGCATCACAATACATCACATCAACTTGGAACTTAGGGCAGGGATGGTTGCAAGTAGGTGTGGCAAGAAGCTATGGGAGTCATGTCTGTGACAATACATTTTCTCCCTGGAAGAATCATGGTAGTGGAGTTCACCCACCTGTTTGGTATTTGGAAACTGGTCATCCTTACGGGTGCATTTTCCACTATTCCAGGAAGCGTATCATGTCAAATTTGGCCATAATAATATACTTCCTTTGGTGTCCCTTGATCCCCTGCGGGGTGTTTTCAACGAGGGGACCATGAACCATGAAACAACTCCTTTTGAGTCATGGTGACAGTGAAAGGATCTGAATAGCTTGCATTGGGGATATATCATATATATATATATCATATATGTAACTGTATATATACATATGATTATATTATATATATATCCATCTAGAGGATCCTTAGTCCGACCATGGCTCCCAACTTCAGAGGAATGAGCTGCTTTTGGTTCGTCGGTTCCAGGAGAAAACGTCCTCGAACTGCGTTGGAAGAAGCACCCTGATTCTTGCCAAAGACCAGAGGCCCTTCCCACTCACCAGGCAGTATGCCGCATACGCCCTGGCCAGACGTGAAGCCTAAGGCGAGGCTGGCGATGTTCGGCGATCGTAAATTGGAAGACGGTAGAATAGAAGCAAACATGGATTCTAAGTGTACTTACTAAACCCATTGGTTGTGATGCCGTCCACTCTGATCCCGGCCAATGTACCTTTGAACTCAGTACTGGCTTTGACTCAGCAGTAACAGCATCTCCTTTGCAATATGTTGCTCATTGTGTCTCTATGGTCCATGATGTTTGAATGTCTTCAATGATGGACGTCCTCGATGTTTGAGCTTTTGCGGGCCTCTTCTTGAAGGTCTAAATCCTTCAACTTTGCGGAATGATTTTGGAACAAGTGCCGATGTGCCTCCTTTTCTCACCGAGGCCCTCGATCATCACCGGGAGGCATGGCTTCCGCTCGCAGCATGCAGTGGATTGCACAGCGCCGGTGAACACTGAGCGTTGTTGCCTTCATAGATCATTTGCTGGTTGGGCTGCACCCTGGTAGCGATGGCCTCCACCTAATAGCGTCCTTGCTATAGTAGCGATGCCACAACATATTTCATGGGACAAGATTTCCCTCATCGGTTGGACCATGTTGGAGCGACGCCGCGACGATTTGTTGCCAGCTCGGACCAGGGAGAAAGATGTTGAGTGAACTTGGGGTGCCAAACATAGTCAGATGTTTGTATGTTTGGGTTCGAGCTGCCCCAAACTGTTTCCAAGGATCCAATCACAGTCTGAATTCCAGATTCTGGGCCGCGATGGTATGGTATCGTTTGTTCTTGAGGCGCGAAGTGTGAGACCCAGCACGACACCCAGCCTTTGGCCATTTGTTGGCTTTGGTAACTCTTGCGTCATGTTCCATGATGTTCCATCATTGGTCCATGAAACACGAAAGGATACTTAAAAGGTCTCAAGTATTCTTAAGTCTTATATAATTCAGCCAAGAGACTTGACTGGCGATCCCTGTGTCCTGCCGCCTTTAGCAGTGGAGGATTCTTAAGCCATATTATATGTTGGCCAGCACCTTCCTGACCTGGGTCTCCTATGGACTACCCTACACCATAAGACTCAGTCGTATACGTCTTCACTTGGTCCAACTGACTGGTGCGACTCGTTTCCGGATTTCTTCGAATCTTTTCGGATCTGTTCGATTCCATGGCCCCTCGATCTTCCGCACCATCCTGCGCGGGGGAGCTTCGAACCTTCCCATGGTCAGCGGCCGCGGCGTCGTCTCGGTCGCCAACGGCCAGGACCGCACGCCTTCGCCCACCCGTGTGCCCAGCAGCGTGACGACGCCGTGGCCGTCACCAGCGGGGAACCGAGGGGGAGGGGGACCGGTGCTCTGGAGGATTCTGGAAGTTTATGTTTTTTCCAGTTGTTTGTTGTGTCTTGTTCTTGTTGGTTTTTCATCTTTTGTTCGATCTTGTGTGTCATTGTGCAAGAACAAGCAGGGGAGTAGCTACTGTTTGACTTGCTAGGTAGGCATGCTGGACATTGCTGGACTGAACTTTGGTTCCGTGATGATACGAGCGAACACGTAGCATCTTGGCCCATCTTGATTTGATTGGCACACAAGCATCAAGTATCAAGGAAGACACCTTTCCAAGAAATCCCAAGCTTTCTTTGTTTTAGAGCAACGTTTGCAGATCAAGCCCCACATTTCCACATCCCCATTACATGCGCCAGATCTAGAGCTGGAATTGACATGTTCTTTGAGGCGATGATTCTTTGTTATTCGAACAAAATTAAAGTCCTGAGTCTTTGGTTGTGTGGTTGCTCTTTGCGTTATCGCACTATCACAGTGACACTTGGACCTAGTGTCATGGGACCCCCAAACATGGCAAATAGCGGGATGTATTGGAAAACAAAATATGTATCAACAGTAGCACGGTATTGGTGGTTTGCTAGGGAAGCGCAAAGGGTATATGTATGTGCATATAAGCACACATGTACCATATGTCAAAAGTATATATATATATATGTTAGAGAGACGTTCCGCATTTATTTCGTTGCGCGTGTCAGTTCGCACAGAAACTAAACGTCCAGCCATTTAGTTTTTTTAGTTTTCTTTGTAAAACTACAGGGCTAGACTCCTGGACATTTAGTTTTTTTAGTTTTTTTAGTTTTTTTTAGTTTCTTTTTATTCAAAAAAACTAAAAAAACTAAAAAAACTAAACGTCCAGC